GTAGACCAGGCTGGCCTTGAACTCACAGAGATCCGCCTGCCTCTGCCTCCCAAGTGCTGGGATTAAAGGTGTGCGCCACCACGCCCAGCAAATAAATTTTTTTTTTTTAAAAAAAAAGAAGCATTATGGGGCTGGAGAGATGGCTCAGTGGTTAAGAGCACCAACTGCTCTTGCAGAGGACCCGGGTTCCATTCCCAGCACCCACATGGCAGCTACAAACCATCCTTAGCTCCAGTTCCAGGGGAATTAGAAGCCTTCTTCTGAGCTCTGTGGCATTGCAGGACACAGGTGTACTCATATACATGCAGGCAATGCACTCATACACATCGAATAAAAATAATAAGCCGGGCATGGTGGCACACGCCTTTAATCCCAGCACTCGGGAGGCAGAGGCAGGCAGATCTCTGTGAGTTCAAGGTCAGCCTGGTCTACACAGTGAGTTCCAGGACACCTGGGGCTACAGGGAGACCCTGTCTCAGACCAAAAAAAATAAAAATAAAAATAAAATAAAATATATTTAAAAATTAAAAAAGCAGCACCAAAAGACTCCCAAATTTAAGATCAATCTAGCCACCTTCCCATTTGCAAACTCTCAAACAGGCCAAGAACTGCACTACTCTGGCCTGATCTACACCATTAAGCCCAGACTGCTAGAACTCACGTGCTCCTTTCCATTCTCCATCCTCTCCCACACCATCCCTTCAATTCTAGAGCACTCACTCTATGTGAGGGGCCTGCAGGCCATAAAAGATCAAGCAGAACTGCTTTGGAGCGAAGGAGGAAATGCCAACATGCAGCTATTGCTGTGTAGTGATCATGCACATTCTGGTGAGGTGGCCAACACTCCACACATCACACCCAAGCAGAAGACATATGCACAGTTGTCACTTTACCAGAGTCTTCTTCAGACTGGGCAGAGGTCACAAGGGCAAACTTTGTGTTATAGCGTGCTTTCTGCTTCTCGTTAAGCATATTCCATTGGGATCCAAGCAATTCTTCAATCTCCTCACCTGAAGCATCTGGGTGCTCAGCAACAACCTATGAACACAGAAAGGGGATCAATGAGAAGTCTACACATAGAGAACTCACCATTATTTACACATTAAATGCATGACCCTTTAGAACTGTGTGGCATTTTTATTCCCATATCACAGAATTAGGTCCCAAAAAAGTCTCAAAGTAGCACAATAACTGATGCTGTGATTCACTAAAAACGTGTACAGTGAAAATAATGTAAATAAGAAAATATATACTTTTCCAAAATCACTAAGTCACATTTAAGGTATCTCTGGAAAAATCAATAGCAGATCAAATTGTACAAAAATGCTCCTCTTGCCAGCTATAGTTGTCACACTTCATCTTTCAGTCCAAGTCATGGACAAGTTGGAAAGACAGTCTACCAACAAGCAAGTCTCAACTTTTGTCCCAGATAGGCCAGCACGAAGACAACAGTCTGCACAGCCAACAGGCTGATGGACACTGACTGAAGATCAGCACCTAGGAATGTCCTAAGCACAGTCCCTCCACAACCAACCAACCAACCAACCAACCAACCGACCAACCAACCAACCAACCAGGAATCTGCATTTTCACAAGTCTTCTAGATGGTTCACATGCACAGCAATATCTGACCAGTGGCCCTCGACTTTAGTTACAAATAGCAATAACCCTAAGCGTTAAAGTCTATGGTATTTAGATCCTGCCCAAGACCAATTCAATCCAGTGTCTGACATCTGTATTTCAAAGGTTTTTTTATGGGTTTCTAACAGACTGCTCAATTCAAGAAGTACTGACAGAGAACAGTCACAATGACAAACTCATGGTAAGCTCTGCAACCCATTCCCATCCACCACCTATTTCAAGAAGTTCATTAGATTTTGTATTTGTTAACGGCTGAAAAGTTAGAAACTGAGTTCAGTCACCAGATCCCATGTAAAGGTGGAAGGAGCAAACCAACTCCACAAAGCTGTCCCCTAATATCTATTAGGTACACGATGGCATGAGTGCCCATCCACACCCACCACACACACACACACACACACACACACAAATAATAAAATAATAATAATAATAATAATAATAATACCCGGTGCCTCAAGATCTGGTCCTTAACAGATTCAAGACCAAATTGTTTTTCAAAAGCCTTAGGGGGCCGGGCGTGGTGGCGCATGCCTTTAATTCCAGCACTCAGGAGGCAGAGGCAGGCAGATCTCAGGGTCAGCCTAGTCCACATAGCAAGTTCCAGGTCAGCTGGGGCTACAGGGAGACTGTCTCAAAAAGACCAAAACAAACAAACAAAAACCCTGGGGGTGCTGGCAAGATGGCTCAACAGGTACAAGTCCTTGTCACACAGGCCTGATGACTAGAATCTGTTCTCCAGAACCCACAAAAGGGAAGAACCAATTCCCAAGGGCTGTTCTCGGACCTTCACATGTTTCTGTACTAACTTCATATCATATATACAGATACACAAACACACAAATATTAGAAAATTTTTTAAAAGCCTTGGGGCACCACTACTCCCAAAAGAAGAGAATCAACCAAGAGAAATTGGGAGATGCTCCCAAATTCAAGGTTGGACAACTGACTACGGAACTGACACATCTGTAGTAACAGGCTAACAGTTACACAAACAGACACATCATCCTTTTCTGACCAGCATATGAAGCCAGCATGAAGAGCCCTATGGGCCTCACAGCCACAACTCCAGGCTTGAGTGAAGCAGGAATTGCTGGGACACAAGCAAACTCAGTGTGCACCTTCACCTCATCTACACTGCTCTCAATAATTCTGATCTATGCTTTCAAGCTCAACACATCTCTTACAAGGGCTGTCTGAGATCAATGTGGGTCCCCAAAAGCAAAAAGGGGGTATTCTCTGAGCAGTGGTCTAGAGTCTCAAGTAACCACCTTTCTGTGGAGAGAAGCAGCCTAGAACACACACTGGAGTGAGACTGGCTGGACAGTTTCCACCTGGTATGGCCCTACCCAACTTCCAGAGCATGAGGGCACACAATTCCAGCTCAGCTGTCAAATACTGGTGGTATCCATTCGGAACTTATCATACCCTCCCCACAGCACACCTGCCATGGTGACCATCCACACACTGCTGAATGCTTTTTACTACTTCAAATGTAGCTGGGCATGCTGGAGCACACCTTTAGTCCCAGCATTCAGAGGCAGGTAGATCTCTGTGAAATGGAGGCCAGCCTGGTCTACAGTGTGAGCTCTAGGACAGCTGGGGTACAGGGAGTCTCTGTCTCAAAACAAAAACAAAAAATCCAAATGTGACCCTGACCATGTGTCACTATGTGACACTAGGTGTTAATACTTCTCTGGGCATACTTGGCTCCCTGGCAAAGGCATGTATCTTCTCAGCTGACCATCTACCCTTTTTGATGGACACAGGCAGCAAGGTAGGCATAACTACACAATGGGTATGTAGAACATTTCAAACTTTGTACAAATAACAGGATCTACGTATCCTTCAGCAGCTTGCTTTCTTCTTCTATATCTACCCCAAATTCACTTTGATACATAATATCCTGAAGAAAAGTACCAGAACTATCACTTGTTGACAACTTTTTAGTTCTGAATATTGTAATGCTTTCCTTGGGTAAGGCCAAAATTATTCTAAATATCTAGGAGTAGAATTACAGAACAGAAAGCATATCAGCTTCACTAGATTGCTAAATTTCTCTCAAAAACAGGTCTGATAGATGATCCCTACCAGCACTGTAGAAGAATTCTGTTCTGCTCATCTTCTCACCCCCAAGTAGCTACAAGTTCATCATCTGTTGCTCAGATGATAACTGTAAAATACTGTTCATCATAACATGAATTTGCAATTAATTCCCTGCTAATGTGTGGGGCTGAGCAACACTGACCTTCTTCTATAAACTGCCATTTTCACAGCCTTCCCCTTTTGTCCCTCAAGGTTTTTTGGCCACAAATCTTATATATGGTGTTCTTGGCACATAGTCTCCATTTTAAATAGTTCCTTCACAATATGTAATCAGTTTGGCTTATTTAGGAAATCTCTCCCTCTCCTGAGATGGCAAAGCTCCTCTTCCATGCTGACTGTGATTGTGATCCCAGAATTACATGAGTGCAGCCATCCCACCCAACTAGCCTGCAACTCTTTCCTACTGATCTCCACATGTTCAAAATCAGCTTCTGAACACTCTAGTCTGCGTGTCTGCAGCAAGAACATCACTGCTTTAATAACAGAACTTCCTATGAAGTCAGTCTAAGACCTCAGTACAAATTCTCTTCAAATATGGCCATACCAGCATCCACTCACAAAGTATACAAAATTTCTAGGAGTTTGTAACTGCACTGAATTTATAGATTTTTATAAATGGAATTGATAACTCCAGAATATAGAATTTTCCTATCTCTGAATATATCTCCATTTATTTAGGCCTGCTAAAATGCCAATTATTTTTCTCCAAAGTCATATACACATTCTCTAATATTTGCTCCTAGTACCTCATATTTTTGTTTTTCCTATTAGTGGCATCTTCTTGGTATCACGTCTTCTGTTACTAACCTGTGCATTTACTAACATTATTGAACTCTTACTGACTCTAAAGATTTCCTGTACACACGTGTTCTCTGCTTTTGAAGAGGCAAACAATGACAACTTTCTTTTTTTTCTTTTTATTTCTTTTGCTTACCTTAAAACACCAGCCAATGTATTTAAAACAACTTTTAATAACTGGTAAGGCAAACTGTGATTTTAAAGAGAATTCTGAAGTTTCATCAATAAATAAGGATCCTTGTTGAAAATTTTTGGCAAATATCCTTCAGTACATTAAGGTATTTTCTACTATCTTTTTAATGGCTCAGTGGTTAAGAACACTGGTTGTTCTTGCAAAAGACCTGGGTTCAAATCCCAGCACCCCCATGGAAGCTAACAACTGTCCATAACTCCAGTCCCAGGGGATCCGACGGCCTCTTCTGACCTCCTCTTCTGACCTCCATGGGCATTGCACGACAAGGGTGCACTTACCTACATGCAGGCACTACACGCATACACATAAAATCAAAAAAAAAATTTTTTTTAATTTTTAAAAATATTATTTTTATTTTATGTCTACAAGTATACTGCCCACATGTATGTAAGTGCACCTGTGTTATGCAGTGTCTTGGAAGTCAGAAGAGGGCATTGGATTCCCCTAGAACTGGAGTTAAGGATGGTTCTTAGCTGCCATGTGGGTGCTGGGAATCGAACCCAGGTCTTCTGCAAGAGCAGTCAGTGTTCTTAACTGCTAAGCCATCTCTCCAGCCCTTTTTTCTACTATTTTTAATTAAAAAAATATTTAATTGGTAATGGGAAGGAAGGTGAAAGAAAAAAACTGCCAAGTTCAAGAACCCAAGAACAACAGTGGCTACATAGCAAGTCAAGACCAGCCTGAGATAAATACTGAGACTTTACCTTTTTTAAAAAAAAAAAAGAAGCACCAAATTTTAGAAAAATTTTTTTCTCCATCAGTAATCATTTACTCTGCTATACTAAAAATCATAGTCACATATTTTCTAATATTAAACTATGATTAAAAATCATAGTAACATATTTTCTAGTATTAAGCTTTGCATTCCCAAGAAAAGTCTTTCTGGTTCTTTATTTTTTAGACAGGGTCTCTCTATATAGCCCAGGCTAGTCTCAAACTCATGATCCTCCTGCATCAAGCCTCCCAAGTGCTGAGATTATAGCTATGCATCACCACACCCAGAATAGTCTACAGGTCCCTCCTCAAGACATCATTCAAACACTCTCTGGAAGACTTCCCATCCCGCATGTAGGGAACAAAAATACCATGGTCCACAGATCTGTTACAATACCCATAACCTTCGGTTACTCATCTCCTCAAATCCCTCATGATCCTGCACTGTGCCATGCTACCTACCACAAAACAGGTGCTGGGTAAACATCCATTGGCAATGTTTGGGAAACATATTATTTCTTTAAAAAAAAAAAAACTTTTGTTAGATTTATTTAGTGTGTATGTGTGTGTGTGTTTGTGTATGTATGTGTTTTATATGTGGGCACACATGTGCTATGATGTACAGGTGTAAGAGAACAACTTGCCGAAGTTGGTTCTCTCCTTCCACCATGTAGATCCTAAGGATCAAACTCAAGTCATCAGGCTTGATGACAGGTGCCTTAACCCACTGAGCTATCTCACTAGCCCAGATACTATTTTTTTTTTTTATGATATACTTATTTTTTATTTTATGTGTATGGGTGTTTGTCTGCTTGTATGTATGTATACCACATGTGTGGCCTGGTACCCTCAGAGACTGGGGGTAGGGTGGGGGGTGGCATTGGATCCCCTGGAACTGGAGTTAAAAGTGGCTGTAAGCTACCATAAGAATACCAGAAACTGAATGCAGGTCCTCTGCAAGAACAGCCAGTGCTCTGAACTGCTGAGCCATCTCTCCAGCCCTCATACTATTTCTTACTGGTGACTTTCATATGGATTTGGACTTCTGAACAGAAATTCACAAAACAGTAAAATTCAAAAGAACACTATAATAAAAAGGGCTTTGTGTCTGAAGATTACAAGGAGCTTCAGTTCCTTATAATGGCAATGAGCTTTATGCTCCAATAGATCATGGTAGTTTATACTATAAAAAATAGAAAGCTATTTAAATTATTTAATCATTGATATATTACTATCCTTTTAAATATTATGGAAATATATTCAACATATTCAGTGCTAGTAAATTCACCATCTTTAAGTAAGCATGCCCCACACTAAAAAGAAAATGCTTGCCAGGTGTAGTGGCACACACCTTTAATTCCAGCACTTGGGAAGCAGAGGTAAGAGAATCTCTGTGAGTTTGAGGCCAAGGCCAGCTGGCAAGTTCCAGGCCAGCAGTCTCAAAAAGATAAAAAAAACAAAAAAACAAAAAAACAAACATGCTCAGTAGAAACTGGACGTCAAGGATAATAAGCTCAGCTTCCAGCTAAGGTGCCAGTGAAGCCCACTCTGGCCTGCTGCTGCGATCTTCCCACATACTTGGGAGGAACATGGCAGCAACCAAGACCACAAAGGTAAGTGTCTTGCACCCAAGGGTCAAAACGCCTGTCTCCAGGCATAGACACTACATCTAAAATCTAAACGAGGCTTAAGCAGACTGCTAATAGAAGACTCCTCCTGAAGGGACTTTAATCAAATTTGGAAATTCTGTAGCATGAAACCACTCAGAACCCAAAGTACTGACCTCATCCCTGTGCTTTTGACAAAAGACCAAAAACTGAGATGCTGCATCTCCCCTTCGGCTCCGTGGAGCTGAAGCCAGGGCCTTCTTCCTTCCAGGAGGAGATCCTACTCCTCTCTTGGAGTTGGCCTCGGTCATCTTTTGAGGAGTACTCTTTTCTGTGGCAGGGTCACTCTCTTGGTTCTCAGCAGAACTAGACCTTTTGGCTCTTCGTCTTCTCTTCATAGGAACACTCTCTTCTCTTATGGATCTAAGGTCTGCAGCAGTTTCTTCACTGGCCCCTGAAGCGTCTGCTATTTCTCCCAAAGGTTCCGCAGCAATGCCGGCCTCCTTAGCCACTTGAGGGTTGAGGTGCAGCTGGTCACCCACATAGAGAAAGGTGAACTTGGCTTTCCGCTCTTCCACTGACAAGCTCGCAGCTTCCTCTGCTTGAACAATGCCCATTTCCCACTGGGCTCTCAATCTCCCTGAAATAGGTTTCAACAGCTAGAAAAAGATAAAGCACTGTAAACTTTATTGCATTAACAAAAAAGGTAACTCATTTAAAGTCACTTTTTTTTTTTTTGGCTTTTTGAGACAGGGTCTCCCGGTAGCCCCGGCTGGCCTGGAACTCACTCACTATGTAGACCAGGCTGGTCTTGAACTCAGAGATTCACCTGCCTCTGCCTCCCAAGTGCTGAGATTAAAGGCATGCACCACCATGCCCGGCTAAAGACACTTTTATAGTATCAGAGAAGCTTAGAAATGAAAAACTATAAAAACCAACTAACTTAGGTTTTAGATATAACTCAGCTGACAACTATTGTTTTTCTTTTTTTTTTCTTTTTGGTCTTTTTGATACAGGGTCTCCCTATAGCCCCAACTGGCCTGGAACTCACTATGTAGACCAGGCTGGCCTTGAACTCAATGAGATCTGCCTGCCTCTGCCTCCCAAGAGCTGGTACTAAAGGCATGCACTACCATGCCCAGCCTTTTCTTTGTAAAAAAAATATTTTATCTTTTATTAATTTTATATGTATGAGTGTATTGCCTGCACGCATGTAGGCAATACACCTGTATCATGCAATGCTCATGGAGGTCAGAAGAGTGTGTCAGGTCCCCTGGAACGGGAGTTTCGGACAGTTGTTAACTGCCATGTAGGTGCTGGGACTCAAACCCAGGTCCTCTGCAGAGCAAACACTGCTCTTAACTGCTGAGTCATCTCTCCAGCCCCAACTATTGTTTTCTTTAAACTAAAACTCAACTCCAAGCCAGGCCTGGTGGCGCACACCTTTGATCCCAGCACTTATATCCCACTCAAAAAAAGACCAAAAAATAAAAAATAAAAATCAACGCCAATAGCTTTAACTAATGCTAACTACGTTTAACTATGAAAGGAAATCAAATTAGAAAACAAGTGTTTCCAGGGGTCATCAAATAAGTAAAAGAAAAACAGCACACTTGGGTAAAAGTAAATGACAAACATAAGAAGCCATTTAAAGCAACCATAAAGATCAAATACAATAAACAATAAGAATTAAAATTTTGGTTTAAAACCACACTAAAGGAACATCTATCACCTTGATTTTCTCAGCTTTTGTGGGTGCCTGCTTGGCACTTTCCTGGCATAATTTTTCAAATTGTTCTTCTCCTTCAAAAGCAACAAGGCTCTTCTCAAATATCCAAGCTCTTTCTGGGGCATCACCAAAGAACTGTACATGATACTGACGTGCACTCTTTTTCTGACCTGATTTTAAAAGTAAAAAGTTAGAACACAAACATTAGAATCTGTGACGAAATTAAGCAAATCTACTACTGTTTTGAAATTAATTTTCTTGGTGCTGTCTGAGCTTATTAATCTCAAAATGAATCCTACCTTTTTATCCCCAATATATTCCATGCCCTAGAGGAAAATTCACTAACCAGAAATTCAGATAAGACATAAAGCAGAGAGGGGGAGAAACCAAGCACACCCCTTCATCTCCTTCTCAATGTCTTCTTAACAGACTTCCAAAAGACAGGGCAAGAAAAGACATCAGCAAATGGGCACTTCCATAGAGAATACAGCAGCAGGGAAAATTTGGACTCAAGTTCTCAGCCCTACCGGCTGACCATCTGGCTAGCCCTTACTTAGAGAATGGAATGAGAGCACTCACTGCCTCTAAGAGCAGCTGCAACCACAGGAAACCCCTTTATACATCCTCTGATGTCACACTTAGCTGCAGAAAGAAACATCTTCTCAATGCAGAAGAATGAGCAAAGAAACTACTGGCCCCCAATCTTTCAGATTCTGCTGAGGTTGAATGAGAGGTAGAAGATGGGTAAGCCAGTCAAAAAGGGCAGATTTCTATACCAAGAGGAGGGAGAGTGATCTCTAGCTCCTGTCCCCTTGTACACAGAACTGGTTACAGGAAACCAAAGGAAACTTACTGGATAACAAACCACCCAGAAGAAAAAAACCTCTTCATTGCATCTTTCAAAGTCTCTTCCAGCTATATGGCTCACAGTTGAGTCCAACCCTCTAAGCAAAGGTGGCCAGGTGTCAAAGCTTTTCTTTCATGGCCACAGCTCTGAATGCTATGCTGACACACAAGCGGAACACAAGGACCTAGGACCAGGAAGTCTACTGCACAAATTAAAATATACAGGAGGTTTGTAGGCAAGCTTTGCAGAGTCAGATACAAAAATATAAGACAGGGCTGGAGAGATGGCTCAGCGGTTAAGAGCACTGACTGCTCTTGCAGAGGACCCGGGTTTGATTCCCAGCACCCACATGGCAGCTACAAACTGTCCTTCACTCCAGTTCCAGAGGAATCCGAAGCCCTCTTCTGACCTCCGCGTTGCATGACACAGTTGTACTCACATACATGCAGGCAATACACTCATACACATAAAATAAAAATAAAATATATTAAAAAAAAACTGTAAGACAAAGATATGCAACAGAGAAACTCCTTGGTTTTTTGTGGGTTTTAATATTTTTATTTACTATCTTAAGTATATGAGTATTTGCCTGCATATAAGTGCACTGTGTCATGCCAATGCCCACAGAGATCAGAAGAGAAACTGGAAATGGAGTTCCATAGCTGCCATATGGGTGCTGGGAATCGAATCCAGGCCCTTTGAAAGAGCAGCAGGTGTTCTTAATTGCTAAGTCTTCTCTCTACCCCTATTGTTTTGTTTTTTGAGACAGGGTCTCCCTGTAGCCCCAGCTAGTCTGGAACTCACTATGAAGCCTAGACTGGCCTCAATCTCAGAGATCTGCTTGCCTCTGCCTACCAAGTGCTGGGATTAAAAGCATATACCACCATATCCAGCAGGTATCAGAAATTTTAAAATAAGAGCTGGAAAGATGGCTCAACAGTTAAGAGCACTGGCTGCTCTTGCAAAGGACCTGGGTTCAATTCCCAGCACCCACATGTTGACTAACAACTGTCCTAACTCCAATTCCAGGGGAATCTGAAACCCTCTTCTGACCTCCAATGGGCATTGCATGACACAGGTGCACTCACACACATGCAGGCAACACACTCATACACATAAAAAAAGAAATTTTTTAAAATAAAATACAAAAATAAATTCCATCAAGAAAGTTTAAGATAAGAAATCTCCAAGAGCCTCTAATTGGGACAGCAATCTGTGGCTATTTCTGGAGCCAGGATGATCCTCAGCACCCAGCACTTCAGCTAGCACTGCAGGCTGGCAGCCAAGCTCAGGGCATCCCAGCTGTCAGATCTATAGAGAAGGAAGATGAATGAGCAAGTCCAGCTTGAAGTCCAGTCTGTCCTTGGCCTCCAAGCAAGAAAAGAACTGGACTGAGAAGTGAGGCCAGGGCAGGCCATATAAGCAGTCTGTGAAAGAGCCCAGCAAAGTTCCAACAACGAAGAGACCTTGGTTCCAACCAAAAGGGAGCAAAAATAAGGGTGCCACGAGACCTGGAAAACTGCCATAGCTCCAGGGAGAAAACCAGGGGCAGATCCAAAAATCTGGAGGAGGAAAAGGAGAGCATCTCACAGGAGTCCTCAGAGGAGAAGCAGTGACCACATGTCAGCTGCTCCCTGGCCAGTGAGGAGTAGCTTTCCCCTGGGAGAGGTTGCTCCATTCCCAGGCCCCTCCAGTTCCCATCACACACCACTGCACCACTGCACCAGCTGAAGGCTCTGTGGAGCTGCCTACCACTTTCTCCTCTGTGGGAAGCAGGTTTTGGCTTAGTCTGGTGTCCTCCCCATGAGCACACCTGCACTCTCCTGACAAGGCTAACCTCCCACGTAACCAGTCTGTCCTGCTGCATCCCTCCCTTGGGTTCTTAGTTTGGAGGCCCCTTCTGCTTTCCCAGCTTCCCTGTAGAGAGGCCTGGGAGCAGCCCCTAGCCTTAAGAGTCCCAGTTCCACCTCATTCTCACAAGCCCCCTTGGGTAAACAGGAGGTGGCAGCAGGTGCAATCAGTGCAGGGGATGCTTAGATCCCAGGATGTCCCCAACCAAACTGTTACCAGTAGGACTCTTGGCCACTTCCACCCCACTTTACCCCAGTTCCTGCACTAGGTGGGGTAAGCACCTTGGACTATATGTAGGACAGGTGTTGGAGGCTGTAATCACCTTGTCCTCACCTGGGATCTGGTACCTAGTGCAGTAACAGATGAAAGTCACCACCTGAGTGAGCTCTCGGTCACCCAAGGCAGGCTGGGGGAGCTCCCTCACCCCCGTTTCCACTCTAGGCTGTTGCCCTTCCTGCAGTGGGGCACTAATAAAGAGCTAGCTATGTCCCCTATACTCCCTACCCACCAAAGCTCTGGTTCATCTTTTCCTGTTTACAAATTACCTCTGGACGCTTGTGTTTGTTTTTTGTTCTTAGATACCCACTACTGCTGCTGCTAACAGGGCAAACATTCATCCTCATCACCTCCCCCAAGTTACTAGAGGGGAAGGGGGCCTGAGGTTCCCGATCACTCCAGGAAAGGTGGAACGCTGCCCCTAAGAGATGCAGCAGACTGGGGGAGGGAAGCATTTTGATCAGAAAGGACACAGAAGCCACTTTCTTGTCCCAGCCTGGGACCCCCCCCCCTTTCTGGTTTTCTATTTGCAGTTATTTGAATTTAAAACCAAAAACCAAAAAAAAAACAAGCCTGGGGGGTGTCTCCTAGAGAGCAGAAAAAGATTAATATGAACAGTCTCTATTCCTCTAAGAAACTGAGAGCCCAAGAGGTTCGATAACAGTTTTCAGAGGGAAAAACTGAAAAACAGAAAAGAATTCACTTAGGTTGGGGATGGTGATGCACACCTTTAATAGTATGTGAGAGGCAGGCAGATCTTTGTGAGTTTGAGGCTAGCCAGGGCTACACAGAGACCCTGTCTCTGTCTCTCTCACACATACACACACCACATCCTTTTAAAAAGTCAGATATGACCAGGCATGGTGGTGCACACCTGTAGTCCCAGCACTTGGGAGGCAGAGGCAGGCGGATCTCTGTGAATTCAAGGCCAGCCTGGTCTACATAGTGAGTTCCAGGACAGCTGGGGCTACAGGGAGACCCTGTCTCAAAGAGACGAAGAAAAAAAAAAAAGGTCAGATATGGCCATAGACATGCCTGTGACTCCAGAGCTGTGGAGCAAAGACAAGAGGACAGCGAGGGCTTGCTGGCTGCCAGCCTAGCTGCAGGACCAGTGAAGACTGTCTCAAGGGGGGGAAGAAGGCAGAGACTGATCAAGCAAAACACCCAATGTCTTGGTCTCCACATAGGCCTTCACACACACACACACAAATGTGCACAAACATCACTCATGTATACAACTTGTGTGCATGTACACGCATCTACTTAATTTATAAAATACTCATTTTGGAATAAGCAGTCATTATACACATAAGTATAATTTTTGTCACAATATTTGAAGATAATCCAAGGTAAAGGCTATGTCTCCTTTAGCACCAGTTCAATCAGATCGAGTACACATTTAGGAGATGAATGTGCCACATCTGAACTAGTCGCCCACATTGGGCAAAGCTTCATAAGTGGCTAGAAGGGGCACTTAACCTACAAAGCATGTGAAAGAAACCTGCGGATCAAAAAGGTTTGGCACAGAAGATGAAAAAATAGTCAAAAATGTAGTACCTTTAAGTTTGGTATGGTTGTGAAGGAGTGGATCAGCAGAAACCATGCAAGGCCACCAAGGGTAACCTGACACTTTGGACCATACCAAATCACCCACATTGTACTTCAAGTGGTCTCTGTCTCTGCCAGTGTTTGGACAGGACTCCTTCTTAACAGGAATCTGAAAGTGATCAAAGACAAATATTAAAATATCCAGTAACTTCCATAAATTTAGCCTTCTATCAGTAAGAGCTCAAGTATTAATGATGCTGAAGGTTCAAAACACACATGGAGAGGCCTGAGGTGAGGCTCATTGATAGAGCACGTGTCCTGAGTCCAAGCCCCAGGAGCATGCTCCCCACCTTTGCTATCGCTTTGTCACAGCTGCTGTCTCTCACTCTCACCTACAGCATTATTACAGTGCCTGGAACACAGCAAGCGCTCACCATTACAAAGAGCTCTATAAATCTATCTCCTTGCCCTGGTGGGACAGTCTGTCATGGTGCTTTATTCTCAGAACCCTAAATCCATACTGTCCCCTACCCCAGCTACATATCTGATAGTCTTTGAAAACATGTACCTCATCCAACATGACAACCCTCTGTGCTAAGGCAGGGACCTCATTCTAGCATAGCCAGCAATCTGTACCCAAGTAAGCATGGGTTCTGAGTGCTCAAAGCTCCTTGAAACTCACAGCTTCTCCATCTCTGAACATGGGCAACCTGACCATCTTCTCCAAGGGCAGTTCCTCCCTGAGCTACTCTGGGTTCTGCTCTCTAGCTGGATAACCCTCAAATTTCATTGGCTGTTATAGATTTATAAGCAAGGCAGTGAGGGCTGGCAGAGACATTTATTATACACGTTCAACCAGTGTAAGCACTCAAATGACTGCATAGAATGTTTTACCCACTGTGGAGGAAGAGAGCAATTTCCTCAAGTTCCAACCAAATCAAGTGGCAGGATTAGGATAAAAGGCCAGGTTTCTGAAAACATGCACAAGCCTCTTCTGCTGTGAAAGCACAGGTTCACTACAGTCACAGTCATGTCTGAAACCTACCCAAGAACACTATTCTGGTCTTTTAAAAAGATTCACCTTAAGACCACCCATGGTAGCACATGCCTTTAATCCCAGCACTCGGGAGGCCATAGGTAGGTGGATCTTTATGAGTTCCAAACCAGCCTGGTCTACAGATAGTTCTAGGCTAGCCAGGGCTACATAATGAGATGGGAGGGAGGGAGGGAGGGAGGGGAGGGAGGTTGGTTGGTTTACCTTTAGAATTACATTAGCAAAAGTGGAACCACTCCTCAAAACTGTTTTAAAGCCTTAAAGTGCTTCGTGGTTTTAAGGATTTCAAGGAGATTCCAACTGTTCTTCATCTGTGGCAATCCTGAACAAAAATTCACAACTACAATTTTTTTTTTTTTTTTTTGTTATTTTTAAAAAG